ATGGCTACAGCAGACAGCTTGGGCAAACAAGAAGAATGTCTCTAAACATTATTGAAGGGTTACCTGCACAAAATAAGACTTTGTGCAACAATAAACCTCCTGAGAAGCTTGCTTACCTGCTTCAACTTTCAGCCATTTTTAATTTTACATACGAGTATTTAGAGAAATTATTTACGGTACTATCAACTAGCATTTTCCTGTTGCTACGGCCCGTTTCCAATCCCTATGTACTCTAATATCTATGTTTAGACACCTCATATAATGCAATCTGATTGGTCAATTCAAAACAAGCATGGTAGAATTAGAGTTGTCTCGCGGGCCCGGGGCCAATTATTAGTGGTGGGCGATACTGGCCAAAATGGATTCGATACGATACCGATCGATATCAGCTCATATCGGGAGTATCGATACAGTTTTGATACGATATTTAGACCACACCTATGGAGTCACACCCCTTATTATTGACTGTTTTCATCGATGTTTTCATGCACGTGTATCCACGTGTGTGTATTTACGTCATTAAATTATTAAAATTTTCATTATTAATATTATTTGACCATAATAAATGGGCGTGGTCAATGTATCGATCCAGATTCCTTCAAAATTTCGATACCGATACGAATCGATACCTTAAAATATCGTTTGTATCGATAAAATATCGATATATCGCCCACCACTACCAATTATTCAAAACAAGCGTAACAGTGTAAAAATATTCCTATAATTGATTTCACCACCTTGCATGTACAGCTGGGTTCTTATTAAGACTTATGAAGGTTCTCTCTACCTTCTACTGCTTCTAGAAAAGTCTTTAGACAGTATCTCTATGTTCTTTCACTTCTTTCACTGCTAGAAAGCTCATAACTTTGTTCCATGTGGAACCACCATTTTGTTTGCCGTGACCACACCCACTTATGTAGCGTGGGCGGGTGGTTGCTAAGGCTTGTTATTTCTCCAATACAACGTGTATAGAAGAAATGTAAGTGTTGACATACAATCAAATGTGACCCAATATGAGAAAACCAGGCTATCTGCGGGAATTATCAATTAGAGATATGGCTTCTTAAAGTTGTGACAGCGGTACCTTATCAAAACTGAGATTATACCAAAAATATATTGTATAATGAATTTCCTTTCATTTGATACCAAGTTTGCCCTAAAATAACTTGAAAGAGGTCATTTACAGACCTTTCTTTTTGTTGTGTACCATGTAAATAATGCAAGATATAATGATAAAAATGGCTGTAACTCAGTTTCATTCGTTTAGACTTCTTGTTGCATAAATAAGCATAACTCAGGACTAGATGTGTCAAATGACATGAAAGAAAGACCAAAAGATTGGAAAAACTTTGCTTAATTAAGACAACCATAAATCTCAATTTTCAATTTTGGAGCATATAGCCTGGTTTTCTCATATCGGGTCACAAATATATATCGCACGTGGGTGAAATCAATTATAGCATAGATATTAGAGTTACAGGGATAGGAAACTTCCGTTCGCGGGAAA